AATGCAGAAATACAAATCAAAGGATATCTGCCAGGTGATTATCTAAGTTTTTCTTAAATGTCTCCAGTGTTGGAGCACTCACCAACTCCCAAGGTAACTAGTTCCACTGTCGTACTGCTCTAATAGTTAGGAGGTTTTTCCTGATATTCAACCAAAATCTGGCTTCCTTTACCCTGAGCTCACTGTTCTGCACTCTGAGATGATCGAGAACAGATCTTGCCCCGCCTCAAATATGTGAAAAGTGCTATCATATCACCCCCCAGTCCTCTTTTCTCAAGGCTAAACATGCCCAATTTTTTTCGCTTTTCCTCATAAGGTTTGGTTTCCACCTTGTCACCTGAACTTGTTCCAATTGTTAGCATCCTTTTTGAAGTGTGATGTCCAGAACTGGACACAGTACTCAAGGTGAGGCCTAGCACCTTGCAGGATTTAGAAACTATGAATGTATGTATTTAGAAAGACTCAAGTCTTCCAACAATCCAAAAAGCCAGGCAATGGCCCAATATTGAAGCCCAGTATTACTGCCCAATATTGCAAGCAGGAAAAAGGATAGTAAAGAACACCCTAAATGTTGACAACATCAATACCTTTACATAGCAAAGAACACCCTAAATGTTGACAATATCAATGGCAGTAGTCAAGATGGTCTGCAGTATACCCTCTTCTGCTCACTATCATTCACAAACACTGTACAAGAGGAAATCCCAGATGACTCTTTTAAAAAAAAATCAGTTAACTATATCTCATCCAACTCAAAGGTGGAAGGCAAATGGAAAAAAGGAAGGCAAAATACAAGATGGACTAACTCCCCAAAGGAACACACAGGCTTGAGTCTCTAACAGCTGAGCAAGGCTGTTAAGGGTAGGATGCTTTGGAGACCACTCATGCACAGGGTCTTTTTAACTCCTTTCTGGCCTAACAGGCTAATTAGGTGATTTTGTGTCTGATGGTAAAAATGGAGACCCAAAAAGAATATATATATATTTAAAACTATAGATATTTAAAAAATATTTTTAAAAACATGTTTAAAAAGGAATACAAAACAAGTATTCAGAAGCTTTTTTAACCTGGCGGCCATTTTGAAACCGCCGATTAGCTGGTCTAAAATCATCATTTTGTGAGAATCGGTTCCCGAAGCAGGAAACCAATCATCGCAAAGCGAAATTCCCCCATAGGAAACATTGTTTGTGATCGCTTTTGCGAGGCACCACTGTATATTCTTTTTGTGTCTCCATTTTTACCATCAGGGGAAAAAAGCCTGTGCAAGCTTCATTCTGATTAGCCTGTTAGATCCGAACGGAGTTAAAAAGTTAAAAGTTAGCTAAGTGTCAGCTAATTGTATCCGGGTTAACAGAATCAAAAGTTGAGATTGCCCCAGAGGTGGAGATGATTCCCACTTTGAAAACTTATGTGAGCACATTGTTTTATCTCAGAAATCCTGAGAGAATGTTTATTGAAGATACATGGCAAAAAATATTTTCCTTAAAGCAAACCAGCTCTTTCTACCTGCCACGTCTCACCTTTCTCCTTTAGGGGAGCACTGAGTGTGGATCGGGTAGAAGGAAAGGGTCTCTTGGGTTCTCGTCCTCGCCCCGTGAAGCGCTGCCTCACACCCGGGTGGGGAGGGAGACTAGGTCGGTCGGTCGGTCGGTCGGTATTTTAAAAATATTTTTAAAAACATGTTTTAAAAGGAATAAAAAACAAGTATTCAGAAGCTATGAAATTACTTGTTTAAGCTATGAAATTACTTTTTTTTCCCCTTTGTGATTAGGGGATAGTCTTACTTTATGTTAGCAGCGCCTTGGTGCCTATATTCTCTCATAATCTCCATACCAAAAATCTTGTCACTGTACAATTGCTTGGTAAATTTAGAAAAAACCTCCAAAGATGTTATTTGCCACCAAGTCACTTCCAATGGTAATGACTATATCAATTACTGCTCACTACTGCCACCCCCTGCCACTTTCTAAAAGCTATGGATTCCTTTACTGTGTATACCCATATCATTTTAGGTTTTCTTCTTTTCTTATCACTCCTAACAACACTTTTTGAGCAATATTGTCTTTTTGTACAGTTCTATAGTCTCATTACAGTATATGTGCAAGGTAGGATAACCTCAATTTACTCATTTTTGCTCTAGTGAGAGTTCAGTTTTGACTTGATTGAGCATCTACTTTTCTGCCTTTCTGGCTGCCTGCGGTATCTATGAGGCTCATCTTCAACACCACATTTCAAATGAACTGATCCTCCTCCCCCGCTTTTCTTCACAGCCCATCTTTTACATATTATGGATGATTTTGACCTTGGTTTCCAGCGTAAATCTTTGCAAAGTTCACACACACACAAACTTTTTTATTTCAGAATGCAAGGGGATGTTTTTTGAAAACATGTGAACAACATGTTTGTATACCACGGGTCTGCAAAATTGGAAGGTTACTTTCTAGTCTGCATCCTGTGGTGCAAGCATGGCAACATTAGTTTACCTCAGATGCTAAAGAGTGTTTGTTTTTCTATTGTATATATTGCAAACATTCACACTTCCGCTTCATCATTTCATCCAAAACAGCCCTAAGGGGCTACAGCCACATTCCAGCTGTTCTTGCTTCAGCAACCACATTACAGATCATGTGTTCATCTTCTAGGATACTCTAGCAATGGGAAATTCTACATGAGGGAAGTTGCTGTTGGGATTTGTGTCTAGTCTATGTACACTTAAACTTCCATTTTAAAAAGCTAGGAAATTCAATTCTTCAAAAAAACCCCTCCAGTCTATGACTGTGGAATACTGTGCTTCTGTATCTACAATTCAAAATATCAGAAAATGACCTGATATTCCTGCATAATATCATGCCTGCATTGCCACCCGAAAAAATGCCAAGCTTTACATAGCAAATAGCAGCCTGAATGCTGACAATACTAATGCCAGCAATCAAGATGGTCAACAAGATACTCTCTGTTGTTGTTGTTTAGTCATTAAGTCATGGCCGACTCTTTGTGACCCCATGGACCAGAGCACGCTAGGCCCTCCTGTCTTCCACTGCCTCCCAGAGTTGAGTCAAAATCATGTTGGTAGCTTTGATAACACCGTCCAGCCATCTCGTCCTCTGTCGTCCCCTTCTCCTCTTGCCACACTTTCCCAACATCAAGGTCTTTTCCAAGGAGTCTTCCCTTCTCATGAGATGGCCAAAGTATTGGAGCCTGAGCTTCAGGATCTGTCCTTCCAGTGGGCACTCAGGGTTGATTTCCTTCAAAATAGATAGGTTTGTTCTCTTTGCAGTCCAAGGGACTCTCAAGAGTCTCCACCAACACCACAATTCAAAAGCATCAATTCTTCGGTAGTCAGCCTTCTTTATGGTCCAGCTCTCACTTCCATACATCACTACAGGAAAAACCATAGCTCTGACTATGCCGACCTTTGTTGGCAAGGTGATGTCTCTGCCTCCTCCCAAAAAAGTAGGCATCTTTTAATTTCGTGGCTGCTGTCTCCATCTGCAGTGATCATGGAGCCCAAGAAAGTAAAATCTGTCACTGCCTCCATATCTTCCCCTTCTATTTGCCAGGAGGTGATGGGACCAGTGGCCATGATCTTAGTTTTTTTGATGTTGAGCTTCAGACCGTTTTTGCGCTCTCCTCTTTCACCCTCATTAAGAGGTTCTTTAATTCCTCCTCACTTTCTGCCATCAGAGTATCATCTGCATATCGTTTGTTGATATTTCTTCCAGCAATCTTAATTCTGGTTTGGGATTCATCCAGTCCAGCTTTTCGCATGATGTATTCTGCATACAAGTTGAATAAGCCGGGGGACAATATACAGCCTTGTCGTACTCCTTTCCCAATTTCGAACCAATCACTTGTTCCATATCCAGTTCTAACTGATGTTTCCTGTCCCACATATAGATTTCTCAAGAGAGAAATCTATATGTCAGGCACTCCCATTTCTTTAAGGACTTGCCATAGTTCTTTGTGGTCAACAGAGTCAAAGACTTTTGCATAGTCAATGAAACATAAGTAGTTGTTTTTCTGGAACTCTCTGGCTTTCTCCATAATCCAGCGCATGTTAGCAATGTGCTGGATTAGGACTGTAGCAGACCTGGGCAAAGTGCAGCCTGATGGCCACATATGGCCCGCGAGGCACTCCTGTCGTCGCTCCAGTCTGGTATTCAAGCACTTGTTCAAGCCAAAACAGACTGGATTTCTCTCACTGAACAAGCTGAACATCAAAACCATTTATAGCTTTTTGTCTAAAGTTGATCAGTTGCTTATCTTTAACATACCACAAAAAACCTCTTTAGTATTTGTGAAAATTAACAAGTTTAAAATAAAAACAATCATAACATCATTGTTTCATTTTATTTTTAAGTAAAGTTGGTTTAGCCCCCGAACACTGTTCAGATTTTTCACGTGGCCCCTTATAGAAATGAATTGCTCACCCCTGGTACAGTGGATAATCTCTGTACCCACTACTATTCACAAAGAAACACTGAGCAGGGAAATATACCCACATTCATAAAAATGAGCACAATCTTAAAGAAACCTGAGAGAATAAAATGTACTGATTATTTATTTAAAATATTTTCAACCCACCTTTCTCCTTAAAAAGGACCCAAGGCATCTTACAACAATTAAAATGCAGTGTTTAAGGTTAATAACAAGTACACAATACAATATAAAATAATAACAAAGGGAAAAGGATAGCACCTAGGACAGATAGGCCTGAAAGAATTATGTGAAAGCCATTGAGCATAAGTAGTTGTATCCCCACCTCTATTTGCAATAAATATGGTTTTCCAAATCTCATAGTAAATGTTTAACAGGTAAACAAACACATGTTCCCTCCATTACATGATATTTTGTAATGGGGGCTTACATTTAGTGCTTTATAAATCA